AGGAGGAGGAGGAGGAGGCGGGGAGGGACCGAGGCGGCAAGGCTGGCCTCTGATCGAGCACGCCGCCGTCCTTCGGGGCCAGGCCCTGCGCGCCAGGCGAGCCTGCTGGCTGGGGAGTGGGGGGCCGAGAGGATCGGCAGCGAAGGGGAGGAGGCGTGGGAACAACGCTGTCGCCTCCCCTCCTTGCTCTCCTCGTCGGCGAGGGCGGGGGGGAAGTGAGAGGGAGAAGGCCCTCTCAGAAGGCTGCGGGGCTTCTCAGAGGCACTCCAGCACTTTTCTGTGCCTTCGGGGAAGCTCAGACAACTTCTGAGAAGGCCAGGGGGCTTCCGAGCCTTCTGAGAAGATCCGCCCCTTCTTATCTCCCCCCCGGGCTCGCCGCCGATCTTTCTACGGCCGAGTACAGCAGAACAAATGATCAATACTAATATCATCATGCACGAGATCTCGACCAGCTTCCAGGAGGTGTCTTCAAACAAGCCTCGGCCAGCTTCTGATATGAACGCTGGATGGGAGAACGTGCTCAAGAAAGTGGGCCAGCTTTCCGGCAAGTTGTTGAACATCGCTGGCCCAGCTTTTCAAGATGGTTTCTGGATCGTATGCTCGACTGTCCGTGATCACGTGGCTCAGCGAGAGCACGGCTCTGATAGCGCAGTTCAATCCAACGGCGCCACAGCAGAATAGTAACCCCAGAGCGCTCGAAGCATTCAGATCCGATGGGGAGGTATAGCGCAATCTGATCAGATATGGCATAGAATTCACACGTATGAGAATACGCTCTGATTTGAGCCAAGCAAGCATCGCTGAACCATAAGCGGACGACGAAAATGGCGGGGCACAACTCTCAGGAGAAGCCCCCTTCCTCATCCTTTGCCCCCTTCCTGTTCCAATCCGTTTCCTCATAAATGACTCCCCCCTGTCGCACCCCGATGCCAGTCGGAAGGGCGGGCCGGGCGTTTCGCCCGAGACAACCTTACAATTGTATGGTCCCAGAGCTTTTTCCCAACCCTCCTGTGTGTCGGGTCCACGTTTTGAATTCGCAGCGCCGCGCCCAACCTCCTCATCCTTCTCCTCCTCCTCCTCCTCCTCCTCATCCTCCTCCTCTCCCCTCCTCCTCCCCTCCTCCTCTTCCTCACCCACACGATTCGTGGCCCCATAGGGAGCTCCACCGAAGGCCCCAGTGGCAGGGCCCGCATGCGTACCCGGTTCCATGTCGGCACACACACACACACCACATACCACACACCACACACCACACACCATACACCACACACACACACACACACACACACGCACAATTCACACGTTTCGTGGCCACGTAGCGAGCTCCAGGGGAGGCTCCAGTGGCAGGGCCCGCATGCTTACTCGGGTCCACTTTGGCAGACCCCTGACACGTTTCGTGTCCCCATACGGAGCTCCACCGAAGGCCCCAGTTGCAGGGTCCGCATGCGTACTCGGGTCCAGTTCGGCAGGCCCCTGACACGCTTCGTGGCCCCATAGGAAGCTCCACCGAAGGCCCCAGTGGCAGGGCCCGCATACGTACTCGGGTCCATTTCGGCATGCTCCTTACGCGTTTCGCGGCCCCATAGGAGCTCCACCGAAGGCCCCTGTGGCAGGACCCGCACGCGTATTCGGGTCCATTTCGGCACACCCCTCACACGCTTCGCGGCCCCATAGGGAGCGCCACCAAAGGCCCCAGCAGCAAGGCCCGCATGCGTACTCAGGTCCATGTCGACACACCCCTCACACGTTTCGAGCCCCCCCCCCAAACGAGTTCTTGTGCATCGAGCGGTCTTGTTGATATGTTCTTCGAGTGTAGGATAGGTTGGGTTCTTCGTCAGGGTATTTCTTTACCGGCAAGGGCGTCACGGATCGAGGGCAGGTGGTGTTCAAAATGTGGCTCCTGCCTTAGCGTCGCGCACGTTGGCCTTAAACTTGTTGCAAGAGCTTCACGGATCGAGGGCGGGTCGTTTTAAAACTGTAGCTCGCCTTAGCGCCACGCACACTCGTGCTAAGATATTGCAAGAACTTCATGGATTGAGGGCGGCTCCTGTTGAACATGTGGCTCTAGCCTTAGTGCCGCGCCCTTTCGTCTCAAACAATTGCAAGGGTTTCACGGATCCTTGTGGTTAGCATACCAGAGATGGTGTTTTGGAGCGATTCTGGAACAAGGGCACACCAGTTACGCTGATTCGCGGTGTTGAAGTCCCAGGAACAGTGTTCTCGCACGGTTCAGGCTCGCCAAGAGGCAACAGTCACGTTGATTCGTTGCGTTGAACTCCTCAACACAAACGGTCGATTCCCAATGGGGTACTTGCCTCAATGGGAATGAATCCGATTGGGGGCCTATTCAGAAGGAGTTTGGAAGGAGAGTTGATTCCAACGTCGGTGATGAGTCTTGTGTTTGCACTGGTCCTCCTCCTCCTCCTCCTCCTCCTCCTCCTCCTCCTCCTCCCCCCTCCTCCCCCCTCCTCCTCCCTCGTCCCCTGTGATCCGATGACGCACAAACATTGGAACATGGTGAGAAATCGCAACTGGAGCCATAGACCCCATCTTGAAGCGCTATTATTCAAACCGGATCGATATGAAAAAAGCCCCGGGGCCCTAAACCAGGCAACGCCCGTCGTAAACAAATGCGACGCCAGGATCTTAAGGTCCCTCCTTTCCTCGCTCCCCGAAGATGGTCGATAACATTCTCGCCGCTTTGCCACTTCTGCGCCAAAGTTTGGGGAGCAGGCGTCCTGCGCAAGCTCTCGAGGTCGGGGGGGGGCAAGAGCGAGGATGGGCGGAAGAAGAGCGCAGACTGATCACACGCAGCGGATGCAAGGGTCTTCGAGGATCGTGGCAAGGGCAGCATATGAAATGCTGCCCAAAGAGAACGCGGGCGCGAGCACTCACCGACGCGTTCAAGACGCTGCCGTGGCAGAACCATCGCAAGCCCGTCCGCCCCCTCGAAATGCTTTGATCTCTACTCTACATGGAAGGCCAGGCGCATCAGAATTGCTATGATCATTGGCCCCTTTCTGGCACCTGGCGGCGGAATGAGGTCGCCGGCTGATGTTTGGTGCACTTGAATCCCTTCGTGCCGTAATAATTGAACTTGATGTCGTCTGTGTGCGGTTCCCACTCGCCCGCGAACCAATACTCCATGATGAAAACAACAGCCATGCCAATACTGAGTTGTTTTCCCGGGCATCCATGCGAGTCTGGTTCTTCTTTCTTCCCATCCACGTAAGCAAAATTACTCCACGCCATAGAGCAGGCTGGGTCGCGGTCGAGCTTGAATTCGTCTGGGTCGGAGAAGATGTCTGGGTTAGGGAACGCACGGTTCAAACAGATTAGCTCATGCTTCCATTCCCCATTGCTCTTCCTCTCGTCCGGAACCCACGTTGGTATCACTGTAACGGGCGGGTGGAAACGCATGCACTCCATTAGAAATTGCTTGATTCTTTCGGGTTCCCGGAAGTCCACGTCATCCAAGCATTCAGGTCGATTCTTGCTGAGAATGTACCCAAGAGTCAGATCGATGGCCAAAGGGACAGAGCGCCCTCCAGCTTGTGTCATGGCGTCGAGGAAGGCTGACGCGAGCAAATCTACCCGATAGTCGTCCCCACTGTCCAGCTCGGGCCATTTTTGTTCAATCAAGCCCTTGTATCTCTTGATCCACTTCGCGCACTGGTCCCGCGCGGGCCCACCCACAATCGACCATATCCAGAATGATCTGGCGACCATGGCGGGGCAGACGGCTGGCAGAAGTTGTGTGGTCTGCAGCGCCGCGAGCTCTATGGCATCCGCGTCGGTGATTGCCCTGCCGAACGCGATTTTGTGAAGCACCTTCAGGCACATCTGGGTGACGACGGCCTTGCTCTGCGAGGGGTTGGTGATGTCTGTCAGGTTGCGCGTCACGGGGTCGTGGCCCAGCACCTGCAGTTTGCTGAAGTGCGCCCGGAACTCGGCCCGAAGCGTGTCCGCCGTCCAGGTGCGACCTCGACCGCAGTCGAAGACGGACGCCAAGTAGGGGCGTACGAATGCGTGGTCCTTCGCGGAGAAGCCCAGCGCGAACCGTCCTGCCTCTGGCCACGTGAGGTTGTTCATCACCAAGAGGGGCAGCTCACTCTCTCTCTCTCTCTGCACCTTACCAGCCTTGATGCGCTCCCCCAGGGTCTCCAGCCTCTCCTTGCAGGCCTGCCAGCCGTAGATCATCTCTGTGTTCCCGCCGACATGCACCCCCACATCCTCGTCGTCTTGGCACTGGTCGGCAAACCACTGGCCGTAGGCATGTCGGAAATTCTTCTTCGAGGCGGCCTTGGCGAATGAGAGCAGTTTGCCCGTGTAGTTAGAAAACGAGAACTGGGCATCTCGAAGTGTGAAGCCAATGAACCCGCCAGTGTAGTTGTCAGAGGGATCAAGTTCGCACCTGATTGGCATGCAGAGGAAACAAACGATAAGGAGAGGTACGAACACAACAATCCCCAACAAGAGATACGGATTATGTTCCGACCCGGCAAGATAAAGAAGTAGCATGAGGAACGGTATGACCCACGCCCACAGGATCATCGTGGTGGCCACGACCCTCATCACAAGATGGGAGTCAGCAGACTCTGCCTCCTCCGCCTCGTCTGCCCATTATGTGGGGCTGTCGCCATGAGGGTCGAGGTCCTCGAACTCTTCCATCATCTATTCCTCTTGCGACTCTCGCGAAGTATGGTTGTGTGAGGATCGTTTCCAGCAGCGGGGCGACGTGTGACATACCCCGCACAATGACAACCGGCGGAGTTCTGAGACTTGGCCAGCTGTGCTGTAGCGGCGTACTCGAGTTGAACACCGCACGGGTGCTTAATTAAGCTGAAGAGCGACTTCCAGTGACTCGCTAGGCTCACTCTAAGAGCACATCCACCTCCCCCAGCTCCTAACCCCTCCTCCCCCTCCATTTTTCATCCTCCATCCTCCTCGTCCTTCCATGACTTACCATCCGCGCATTCCCGCACCTCATCCCATCTTCCTCCTCCTTACTCTATCATCCTTGTTCCTCTGATCCTCCTCGCTCCTCATCCTCCTCACCTCCTCGTCCTCCTCCTCCTCGTCCTGCACCTCCACACATTCCGCTGCTCGGTCGCAGCTATCACGACCCCTTCCCTGGGGGCAACTTGTCGCCCTGGGTCCATGCTTGATAGATCGTCCGCCGCCGCCGCCCCGAGAGAGGCGCGCACCACCGCTCTGGCCGCCGCCGCTCTGGCCGCCGACGCTCTGGCTGCCGCCGCCGCGCTGGCCGCCGCCGCGCTGGCCCCTTAGATCCAACGTTGTGAAACAATGACAATACCTCGACAAATCGCACCAGGAGCCGTGCACCCTGTCTCCGCACGGCATCTTCCGAAGCGGCCAGATCTTAAAGCAGAGCTAGGATCGGGATAAATCGCTCCAGAGCGTTCCGGAGCGCTCTCAGAGCGTTCCGGAACGCTCTGGAGCGGCCGCGGCGCCCAATACATCCTCCAAACCCGCCGATTCTCAGAGATTTCGAGTTATCCCGATCCGATTTTGTCCCGATCTTCGCGTCGTTTTAGATCCGCGGCAGGGCCCCCAAACCCGACGCCGGGCGACAAAGACGTCCGGCTCGAGCAACAGCCGAGACGCCCGCAGCTCAGGGGCCGCCGCTGGCAACGTTCTGAGAAGAAGAGAAAACGGCATACGCAGAAACTTTTGGCGCTCCGAGCGGATTTCTAGGATCCGCGCTGGGCCTCCTCCCTGGCGCGCGCAGCGCGCCAGGGGCGGCGCCGGAGGCGCCGCCGGGGCGGCGGCCACGGGCGGCCCACCACGCCCCCCGTTATCAGATCTAAGAAACTCCGGCGGAGCGGCGCCAAGACAAGCAGCGCCAAGAGTTTATTTATGTCCTTTCCTTCTTCTTCTTCGAGCTCTGGCCGCCGGCCCGCCGCCGCGCGGGCCGCCGCCGCGCGCGGGCCCCGGCAGCCGCCGCGCGGGCCGCGCTTTGGCCGCGGCCCCCGCCCGCGCGCGCGGCGCGGGCGCGCGATCTCGCCGGCCCCGAGAGCTCTGCCGCCCGCCGCGGCGGGTTGGGCGCGCGCCGCAGGCCCCGGTCCACAGCGCGGGCCCTGGCCGGCGGGGGAGTGGCCCGCCGCTGGCGCGGTCGGCGCCCGTCGCGCCGTTCTGTCGCCGGGCGGCCGCGCCGAGGGGCGGCCCAGCGCTGTCGGCTGGCTTGGCCTGCGTGGGCGCGCGGCGATCGGCGATGGGCAAGGGCCTCGTCGCCCGCGTGCGTTTCCGACCGAGGAGGAGGAGGAAGGAGGCAGGAGGAGGAGGAGGAGGAGGAGAGAGAAGGAGGAGGGGGAGGAGGAGGAAAG